TGTTAAAACTTACAGGTAAGTCTTTCAGATACCTTTACTAAAGCCAACATATCTACAGGATTTTGCTAGATCTCATTTTCAAAAGCACTTATGTTATTTAGGGGTCTAATTCACAGTTCTGAAAGCAGCTTGGATGCTTAGTATATTAGATCTCACTGACCTTCAAAGAGACATCTAAGCATTTATGGTCAGATACTGAATGTAAGAGGAGCCTAGTAGGATTTTTTTTATAGTGTTTCATCACCTCAATCCCTTTGAAATCACTTTAACCATTTTCCTTCAATTTAAAAAATGGGGCACGGATTTCTAAATCATATGTGTACTTATGAAAATATTACCTGTAATTTATTTAAACCTTGTGAATACCCCAGGAAAAAGGTGTGTTGTAGATGTCGTGCTTTAATAGAAAATGTGTTCTATGAATTTTGGGACAAATCCTGTTTTTTGTCACTAATGTGTCATTTCAGTCATTACTTGCTGAGCTGTACCATTAGAAATCTGGGTCACATAGGCCATGTTTAAATTACATATTAGATGACCCAAATGTTTAAGGCAAGCTGGTGTAATTCAACATCACTGTAAGCAATTTATGCCACTGAAGATCAACCCCCTCAAAGTCCTGCATCTTCCTGTGTGGAAATACTTCACCTTCTCAAGTCTTTTCTTATATCTTCTCATATTAGTCAGGACCCCCTACCCTCCCATCTCTGACTTATCTGACTGGCTTGTGGTACTGATGCAATTACTGTCTCCATTTACACTCTATTATTAGTCTTAAAAACATAAAAATTTCACCTGACACACAAACATACCTGTTACAGACAGCGTGTGGAAATATCGGAGGAGAAAATCTCAGGGGAAAAAAATAAAAAGAGAGAATTTTTTTGACGGATGAGCAAAATGTAACTCTTTGTTGCATACAGTTATGGTAATACGGTATCCTATCATGTAATAAAATATCACACAGCATGTGTATGCTTTACTGTCAGTTTTATTTGCTGAACAATTAATAGGTGTGCAAACAGAATAGTTAACTTTGTCAGTTTTGCCTTTTTTTTTTTTTTTTTTATTCTTCCATCCATTTTCCTGCTGACATTCCCTTGTCTTTCTATACTTACAGCTAGAAAACTCTGCTACTGCACACTGACAAATGTGTACTAAGGTGATTAAAAGTCATGTTCGGAGCTATTGATTACACACCCATTGACTTCTTGCAGGGCCACTATATTTGTGCCAAACTGTGTTATCAGACTATCCACTAGCACAGCTTTAGTGCAATGGCTTTTCATTGGTTCTGTTTAAAATACATGGAAAAACATTTGCCAGAATCCCTGCATGTGATGTTGAGCACAGGCTTTGCAGCTGTCTCTGTAATTCTTAGAAAGGTGAAAAAGCAATGACTTAATGCTCTATACCACCCAAGTCTGAATTTTTTGTCTAAGGTCACCTTATATTTGTAGATCTTGGAAAATTATCATGAATATTTATGATGGCATCAAAAAATCAAGCAGCTGCAAATTGTTTACAACATTTTTAAGACTATGAAACCAGCTTCTACTGTAAATCAAATACAGCTGTTAGAACTGGGTGAAAATTGAAAGCCCTTTGGCTCCATCCTATCCTCTTAAGTACCTGAAAGCTGAAAAATCATCAGTAGCACATTTTTAAAACACTAATGTAGGATGTATAGATAAAACCTGAACAAAAGGTAAAACCCAAACAAAAGTATCAAATTAATCATCCTAAAGATTGCATATGAAAGTACTTTAATGAAATATTAATTTGAAATAAATGCCATAAAACTTTGGCGAAACTTCCAAAATGTAGAATCACAGTCTGCCTAAAATTTTATCTGCTTATGCTTTTCCCCTGCTTTTTGAAAAATAAATTCTTCAAATACACAGCAGAGCAGATGTGCATATTTGAAAAAGTGAACAATAAATACGTGTGCAATATTAGCTTCAAATATTTGTTGGATTTTTCTTCTACAGAACCATGATTTACAATCTGCCACTAATTTAATAGCTAGCTGGAGAAAAGCATCAAGAGAAATAGCACTATCTTTGTTTAGGTAGAAGTAATCAATTCTAAATCTTGGCACTGCTGATAAATTGATATTTAGACTGCATTTATTGTATGAAAACATCAAAACATTTAGGTTTGTTCGAACCAGAGGAATAATGTGTGTATTTTAGATGAGACACACTATTTGCCTAAAAATTAATATGTTGCATGAAAGGGAAAACTGATCATCTCTTAGAACTAAGATTTTCAAACTTTTTCTTGCCAAGTACTGCCATCAGCAGCAGTGGTGACAGCAGCCTCAGCCTGCAGTTCTACATAGGCTCACATGTCACAGTGCAGACACTTGCGTAGCACTTCTGGTATGTGGATTGCAACTTGGGAATGCCTGTATTGGAGCTCTTAAGCCATTTAAATACAGCTGTGCTAATAAATAAATTATCTGATTTAAAGACTACAGTTTCATTTTACCTCTCTTTAGGAGGTTTTATATTTTCTGTATTTAGTTTCTCCAGTTCTTCCTACCAGTTAAATGTTACTTATACTGTCCCTCAGTTTTTCGATGAAATACTTTAGACTTAGGAACCATGTGGGATTTCAGGGTCTCCCTGTTTCATGTTTTAAAGATAATTCAGTGACCTGTATGGTCAGAGGTAAGCCTCCACTTTGCAAGAGGATCTTTGTCAACTGCCATATAGTTCACTCTGTTCAATAAGCTGAACAATAAAGTCCATTTCTTTTTCTGCTTACCCGTGTTACAGACTGTCACAGACTATCAGTCCCTGAGCAGCATTGCATTACAATTCAGTAAAGCTCATACAACCAATGTGCAAGACTTCATCAGAAAGCAAAATGCTAGTCTGAGAGGATAATATCTATGAGGCATTCTTTTAATAAGGACCATTTTTAAATGTTAAGAATGACTTGTTTTAATTGAAGGAGAGGAAAGGAACTTCTACCAAGAGTCAAAGAGATTCCCCCAGAGCTCTCCGAAGTCTTCAAATTGTCTTGTATAGAAATGCCTGATAATTAGAAATTAACAAAGGTTATGAAAAATTTCCAACCATCTTACTGTAAATTTCATCTGATGAGATTGTTCTCTTATGCAGTTAAAAATTTGGCTTTAGTTTAAAGTAAGATACCTGACCATCCTATTTACTGAAGGCAAATCATGAAACTCATTTTACAGACTCAACTTTTGCTGGGTTTGTGTAAGCAGGGATGCAGAACAATTACCATTCAAACCATTCTTTTCAATCTACTATACAATATCCACCTGTTCTGTCAGACAGCAGGAATGTATGCCACAAATACAGACTACTGCCGTGACAGCAGCAGGTGTATGGCAGCAACAACTAATCAAATCAGCTGAATCGGAGGTGTGAATCACATTGCACTTCTGTGCAATGAAAACGAGCAGAAAGGAGAGAACTAAATGATTGTGAATTTTTGTTTTGTTTTATTTTTAAGAACTTGCTTTAAATTATAGGCAATACAACTGGTAAGTAGAAGGAAAAAATAATGAGGAATTGAAAGGAAAATGACATTTCATCCTTGCTGCAAAGGACAGGCAGGGTGAGATAGGTATAGGAGACACCCATTGTAATCATGCTGAAAAAGAAAAGCATAGGTTCTGATTTTCCTAAAGAAGCAAATGCAAAAGAACTCTTGTCTGTACCATATGACTCATGATGCTTCTTTACTAGGCTTAAAGAGAATTGAACTTGAGTAATAGCACCATTAGAGCTCTTTACCAGGAGCTAGTTCCTGTGGTTTCACTGGGTCCAGCTGCTGATGACTCACAGAGGAAGTGGCAGAGATTAGGTGCACAGGGGAAAAATCAGAAGAGCTCAGAAATAAAGCAAATCAACCAAGCATTACCTTTTGTGCACAACAGAACAATGGCTTAACAACTGAGGTTCAAAATGATCCGTCTTATTCCCCTCATTTTTGCTATTCCTGTTGGAAAGACCACCAGGAAACATGTGAACCACTGTGGAATACACACTGTAATCCATGGAACATCTCAATTAATATTCCCTCTTGACTACAGCTAGAACAATACATAGCATCAAGCAGTTTAATCTCCGGCAATAATGCCTTTTGTAAGATCAAGAGGTCTTTCCCTCAAATTAAGGTTTAAGTGAGGATTTTGAAAATTGGTTAGGTATTCTGCATAATGTGTAGTGGTAGCTACAGGTTCCATAAGTAGTAGCTAGGTAAAATGCATAGACATAGGCTGGTTGTCATTAGAAATGTTGTTATTATTAATTTCTCCTTTGCAAAATTGACATTGGGTTCCCTATAGAAAAGAGTTAATCCTCCAACAGGCTATTATGAGCAAATATATCCAAGCTTCTATAAAATTTAAAACACTGCCTCTAATATTCAGGTTTGTGCTACAAAGAAAGTATGTCCCCCAAAAGTTAAAATATCTAACTTAAAAGGGAAGATACAGGGTAGAACATTCTGGATCTTATTTAAATTACAAATGTACAGTAGTAGTGCTGCTATTGGCTCACATCACTACAGTCTTGGACACATAGCTCAGGGCATCTTTTCTTCATGAAAATTGCAAACAGTTTAGGCTCTAAACTCCTTGGGGAAGAGTCCTATCTGAGTTGCTATCGATTGATAAAGTAGCTTATTACAAAAACATAAGACTATTTTGACTAGATTATACCATTTCTTTAAAAAATATTTGAAAAGGTTGATGTACTAACAGCACCCTTGGAAAAAATTATTGCAAATTTTTCTAGATTAGCGGTTTATCCTTGTTTTTAAAAATAAATTGGAATAGACAATTTAACCTGCCTTCGACTTTCTATTTCCCATAAGAATTTCAGAGGTAAGATCAGTTAATGATTATACACAGAGATGCATTTTATAAACATTTGCTTCAGTGATTAATGTAAAACGATTCACAACCATCTCTTTAGAATATTAAGTAATGCACTTTACTTTGCATGTTTACCATCAGCTGGCTCTTCAAACCCCCACAAGGTGACTGTGTGACACGGGTACATGGTCTCCGCAACACAGACGAAGATTTGAAAAGGCCCTCGCTACTCTCATCTTCAGTTCTTCTTCAGCTTAAGCAATAAGCACTTTGAAAAATATTGCCAATAAGAAAGGTGCTTCTGCTGGTGTTATCCTTTAAGGAAAATCAAACATGAATTTAGTTCACGGCTTCTGTGCTCCCCAAATGCCACGGCTGCATTATCTACAGCAAGCAATAGACTACATTTAAGATAATAAAGCTTGTTTATTTATAAGAAAATTTATGATAGCCAGTGAGGGACTGTGGTGCTGTGGGTGGCCAGGGTGTGTGTAGGGTGCTGTCACAGCTGTCCCAGGCGGTGACCTGGAGCACTGTGGGCTTTGGGGAAAGCTGCACCAGCTGTCTTGAAAAGCATGATATTCCTCTTCCCTGCATGCAGCCACATGGTCTTCATGCACTCAGAAGCACATGGATGGAGCAGGTCAGTTCACTTACCTTCCTCTCTTAAAAGTCAGTTATTTTATGTTTAAATATTTTCATTCATCTCATCCGCATTGACTCTTTGGCACATATGTGAAGATGAAAGGGATGAAACCTTATTCCTAGCAATGCCATAAATATGATTCTGGAGGAAAAAAAAAAAAGTGAAATGCAGTTAATACACATTAGAAATTGTTTATTTGATACTGTTATACTATTCCTTTAAGATATGCTAATATGAACTGGCTGTCAATACAACATCACTTAGTTGGTTTTCATCTGGACCTTAGAGCACAACAAAATTATTAGTACATAAATCTCTACTAATTTACTCTAGATTATGATTCTTTCATCAACATGCACATATAAATTATACCATTAATCATAATAATTTCTTTCAGTATTCATGTGGATGTAATATGTAATTTCTTGGGAATCCCACTGTAATTTAGCATGAATTAATGTCCACTTATTGGAAAGCACTACCTACATTGATATTTCTAGGGGAAAAAGCCAACAACCGTGATGCATCTTAAACTACAGCATAAATGACCAGGGTGCTGGTAAACAACCACCAAAGGAGTGTCACTGCAGGTAAAGGAAAGTTATCTTAAAGGCAGTTTGTTTCAACACTCATTAGGCCAGATGGCAGCCTGTCTTATAGGAGCACATAATGCACGTGTGAGGGAATAGGGGGGACTTCTCTCTCCTTCACCCTGCCCTGGGGAAGAATGGTGTGAATACACAGACTGATGGGAGAGCCGAAGCAGAGGGGCATCACTAGACACTGGAGAAGGCAGTGCAAAGCCATCTGCTGCACCTTTTTGACAGAGCAGGAGCAATAATAGCTATATCAGTCTTAACAGGTAACACCTTCTAATTGGCCTCAACAATAAATTTCTCTGAGAGAAGCAGCAGTATTCATCCACTTTTCTGCAGACTGTATTTTAGCAATGGATTATACTCTTGGAGGTGGCTGGCCCATAGATTGAGCCGGTCAAGGACCCATGGATGGGCTGCTTTGGCCTCAGTTTCCCCCACCTAAGAAATGCAGCTGCCTCCTTGAGAAGTGCTATGCCCTTTCTGGAGGTGAAGTAGGATATTACTTAATCTAGCTATCAAATATATAAATGGAACATACATATATACATATGCATGCTTCATAAGTGAGACAGTGAGGGGGAAAAAAAGGAACTTCTGACTATAACAAAAGATTCATTAGGAAAAATGAACTAATCAGTGCTCTCCAAGGAGAAATTCATTCTGTTTAGGAGGCCGTACCCTCTGCTGCTGCACATACTTAATATAATTTATATTATTATTTAAATCACTGCGTAAATTTTAGATACTTTCAAAAATCAAGTTAATGGACCATACTTTACTGCTTAGCATCATTTATATCAAGAATTAGTGGCTGTGGAGATAATATATGTGAATACAGAGGAGAAAACACAAACAAGCAAATATCATAAAACTCATCTGCAGCATGGGCTTAAAACACAACAGCAGAAATGAGCCCTTGGAAGAGTTGCGTGTTGCATGGTACAGGCTTTCCTTTAAGCTGTGTGCACTCCTGTGTTTAAATACAAGGTATCCTTGAAAACATTTACCACCACATAGTGGGCACATCCTTGCACCAAACTCTTGTGGCAGAATGTTTCTTCCACTGGGAAATGTCTCCCTCTCCTCAGTTTGGATACAAAGGAAGGCAAGAATACAGCATGGTTTTCCCATAGCTGTCAGAGGAAGCGGAGATAGCAAATTAAGGAATTCTTGGGGAGAACACAGGCACCTATAAAAACTGCTTAGGAGCTGAAGAAAGGGGCTGAGATGCTTTAAACAGACACAGCCTAGAAACAAAGAGAGAAGGAAATAGAGGAAGATGATAAGAACCTGGAAAAGAGACGGTTCTGGCAGCTGAGATAAATCCAGGGCCTTCTGCTGTGGGCTCATTAAAAAACTGAATATCTTCCCTAAAAATGTCTTACCTGTACCAGGCAATGAAACAGCTGTGCATCATTGCTTCCTTCAGGTTAGGCACGCTGTATTTCATTCCTCTGCATGCTTGCAGCAGAGAAAATTTGACAGGGAGCCCAGTTTCTGAAGGTTTGACACAAAGTCTTTCACAGCCCCAGATTCCTGTCAACGTTGTGCTGAAGCTCATGTCACCAAAGGGATCGTGCTGCCATGGGAGAGTGGCACAGAGACGGGACAGCCTGGCGAGTTGCAGCAGCCACGGGGGAGGAGAGTGACAGATCTGGGGAGGTGGGCAGTGTGTGGGCAGCAAGCACGAGTGGGACATGGGTAGTGCAGAGGGCCAGTGTTAGCACTTCTCATTTCACTTCACTTCTCTAACTTATTTTATGACGCTCCTGAAAATCATAAATATAGGTAAAGAGAGTGATATAGCCCTTGGAGTGGAAAAAAATGACACATAGCTGAGTTGGAGAGATCTGGGAGGCAGAATCTGGAAGAGGAAGGTCAAAGCAGGGACGGTACCTCTTGTTGCACTGGAGAAAGTGTCACTTATCCCATCACTGAGGAGTCAGTCTCTGTGGGAAGGGTAGAAGTTTTCTTCAGATTTGAGCATTACTTTTGGATTAATTCATCTTGTACAATTCAAGTAAACATGGTCTTCTGATAGAAAAACAGTTTGGAACTGATAATGCTTTGCTTTTGCATCTCATGACTCAGGCCTAAATTCACCCACATTTCACATTCCCTCATTTGCTGTCTGCTTTCTTCCCACCTGACTTGTAAACTTTGCTGCTCAGTAAAAGTTATGAAGTTTTTCCACCTCGTGAATGAAACTCCAGGCGTAGATCCTTTGCTGCTGTCAAAGTGCAAAGATGGATAAAAAAGTAAGCTTTTATTAACAAAGAAAAACTTGGGCCTCTTACAGCAAGCCCTGACAAAATAACTGTAGTCAAAATCTAATTTTAAACACAGAGAGCAAAATGCGTAAACCACATATCACTACCTCCTCTTTGCACTGGCTAAACATTTTCTCTGCTGAGGGGACAGTGAGAAAAGCTGTTTTATCTGTGTCCTAACTTACTCCTACTTAAGGTTTGTTTCTTTGGGAAATACAAATCACGTTTTATAAAGCTGTGTTTTACCTTGCAGTTTGGAACACATAAAGTCACTTAATTCCTGAATGTGATGTGGGATAAAATCGGTATCCTTTCAAAAAACCCTAAAAATGCTGTTTGGGCTGGCTCATTTCAGGTAACAGTAATTGTGTAAACAATTAATGTACCTAAATTATTAGTTGCTGCCCAAATGACTGCCTGCATTGCTGCGTCACCTGGCACTTTTGTATGAGCATTTTTATTGCCTACACATAAATAATTTTTCCTGGTGAATTCACAAGCTGCTGTCTCAGGCTCTCCCCATGTATTATCTGTGTGTTACTTGGGATCTGAAGCTAAGTGGGTAGATTGCTCACAGCAACGCATTTCATCCATGTCCTTTGGTTTTGGATGCAGTGTGCACTTCCAGCTGTCCAGGAGCACCTCCATTACCCAGCCTTGTGGTAGAGCAAATAGCATTCTGGCCTTAGTCTTCAAGCAGTAGATTAGTGACAGCAGTAGGCAGACAACTTTTGTCCCCAGGGAATATTAGAAATCTAGAGCTAGAAATAGATGGATTAACTGAAATGCAACCCAACCTCTGATCTACATTATTGCCTCTCTTCTTTATCTCACAAGGGAAGCAGAGATAAAGAGTGATAGACATTGATAATGATGGAAGTCCGTGATAATACACCAAAGTGATAAACTTCTTTGTGGCCCTCATTGTGCCCAGTTGTCTTCAGCTGGTTATGAGCTCTAGCCTCAAGCTATTTACACCATGATCAGGCTAGTAATTAGCAAAATGTTTAATATAATATAGAAGCAATTAGGAGGTGATAACATGCAATTAAGATGTGTTTTCAGATTAAAGATTTTATTGTGCTCTCTTTCTTGAAAAGATAAAGTGCCTATCTCAAAATGTCAAACTGCAGTGATTTAATCTGAGTTATTTTCAATTAATATGCATGTATTCTTGTGATGTGTTCACCGTTGTTATTGACATTGATAAATTAAGCTCATCCCAGCAGAATTTATCCTTGAGTCGCTCTATATTTCCTGAATGTCAGTTCTTTATTTGTATTTTTTTTATGCCTACAAGCTGTGCATGATCTAACTCTAAATCCCTTGATTCATCCCTGGGATTACAGTAATGTGTCAGTCTGAGTGGAACAATAATCTGAAAGGGCATTGTTATAAATAGTGTGTTAGAATATAATTGTTTGTCATGTCGTTTCTCCCCTTTAGATTCCTCTGAGACCTGTTTAAGTAATTTAGACAGCTAGAATGACAAGAGTCTTGAGACTTCACTTATAGAGTTGTCCAACCAGTCTTCAGCCTACCCTGTCTTTTGAGACTGTCTCATCTGCAAAGTAGGAAGTGCCAACAACAGATGAGTTCCGACTACACTGCGGATTTGTTATGAGATTTTGCTCAGGCCATTTATAGAACAATGTAAATGCTACTGATACTAATTTCACCCTGGCTAGTCAATAGAAGTGCTTAGACAGTAGACACTAGAATATTTTCTATCATCATTAAAAAAGTTAGAATCCTAAAACATTGCAGTTCGTATACTACAGTTCAATGTCTGAAGGCAAAGCTTTTTAAATTTTTTTAGATGCTTTTTGATTTTTTGTTAATAATAATAATAATTTTTAAAAGAGCTGAGGCACGAAAGACAGACATTTTTTTTTTTTTAAAACAGCGCCAACTTTTTAGGAAAAGTAATAAAACACTTCCAAAGAAAAAAATGCTAGAAAAGAGAGTCCTATTAGGTCATGCAGTCCAGTTTCTGGATCATGGAGAATTATTCCTTGTAATGCATTTTTCTGCTCTTTAGTCCTCTCTAGGATTTTTACACATGCAGTGAGGCATTCAAACATCAGAGAATTTGTATACAGCACGTATCAGAAAGTTTTTCCTGTATTTAACAATTATTTTCTTTCCTGTTTCTGCTAAGTATTTTCCTCATAGTTAGTGCTAACTGTTTTCAAATATTTGTGTTTAGGTCTCTTCTCTTGCTCTCTCTTCTACACATTTAGGGTCTGCTTTATGATACTTTGTTCGTATGTGGTTGCAAAAAGTCAAATTAACTGAGAGTCACTGCTAAGCAAGGCAATTTGTATTTCGCTTTGTGTCATCCCACTGTGATTAAACTCTTTGATCCCATGGATTTAGTAAAGTAAAATGATACCACAGTTTATGTTGACTGGCCAGTTGCTGTTATCATTTAGTCAGCTAACCTAGTTCTTCACAGGACTGCTTGAGCACATTGAAATGTTGCCATTTGACAATCCCTGAGTCACTGTTGTTCAAGCCATGCACATTTGATTCTTGCCTATAAACACTGGTAACATTTTTCATTAATTGTACAGGCCAGCTTCTGGACCCGCAGTGTCTCAGGTAAGTCACTCAGGACATAGAACAAAATACAGCTCTTGAATGTTATCTGAGAATACCTCAGTGTCCTGTCCTTAGACTGGGCTTCACAAAGCATTTAAAAGACAAGTAAAGAACAAACAACACAATTAAAGGAAGCTGCCAAAAGCTGTGGAAGTGTCAACTGGGACCACTGCTCGTTATACAGGTGAAGTTGTTGACTTTTACATATATAAATGATCTGAGAAAAGCTATGTGAAGACTTGAAAAGAAAGCTTTCTATTGGCAAAAGCAAAATGGGAAAAAAAAAAAAAGTATTAAGAACCTCTGCTGAAATGTATTGGTGAGTAAGTAAACTTCTCTCTGTCCCTTGGGCCAACAAGAAATCCCACTCTAGGAGTGAGATTAGCTTTACCCATCAGTATCGAAGTCAGATGGAAAGCAGTGACAATGTCCTGATAGCCTGGTTTGTCTTGGATCAGTACCAGCTGTACAGTCATGTCCTGTCTACACAGAAAATCTTGAACTGGAAAGAATCATGGTATTTCCTTCTTCTGGTTGATGATGTAATTCGGTGAGAGCACCTTTGCTGAGTGGACCATAGCTGGGTAACAGCCTTGCTGGATGCAGCTCCCAGAAGGGATGGCAGCAGTGGGTGTGAGATGGAGTCTGTATCATGGGGAGTCAGTGGGGATGGGTATCCCAGCGTGGCACAGCCTTGGCACTTCAGCCAGCCTCGTGGTGGAGAGCATCATCTGGACTCCAGCAAGTGAGGTTTTGGGGGGATTCTTTGTATGTTGGTAAAGCAATGAGTGGAAGTCAGTGAAACGGTCAATGTTGCCTTTGAAAAGATCACCCCGTCATTCATCGTGAAGCTCAGGAAAGCCTCTAATTGTCTGTGTTTCACTCCCTGAACAGGTAATGCAGTAGTCCATAGGTATTAACATGGGAGGGAGTAACTAAGGTTGGAAAAATGCAAGATAGAAATAAAAAAATCTTAATGTTGACAATATAGAGCTAATACATAAACAAACATAGCAGTAACACAGATGTGCTAATGCCATTGGGATATTAACTGAGAGGGGTATTTCTGTGCTGGATCTGCCTCTAGCTACAAGTATAAGACCATTTGTACAGTATATTTTTGTTCAATATTTTCCTTTACAGGCACTCAATCAATGTCATACACAGAGCTTACTGAATTATGCCACTCACATATTTAATAACAAATAATCCTTCCAGGAACTATTATGGATTTAAGTGTGATTATAGTAAGGATATCCAATAGCTACTTTAACTTATACTAATATCCATTCTGCAAAGCTACAGACTTAATTATACTGTAGCCTAGATATATATCAGTTTTAGTTGTGCTTCTAACAAGTTCTTTTAGTTTTGACTAAAAATGATGCGCGTTACAAAATTTTCTCAAATGGTGTTTGTGATTATTATATTATCCCCACGCAGATGAGAAATGTGGCATTTAAAATGCTGTTACAAAGTGTGCTAAAGTGAGTTTTGGTTACTGCTTCTCTGGGTTAATTTTTGCATTAGCAAAATCAGAATCAGGCCCAATATTTCATGCAAATGGTCTTTCCTATGTGATGATCATCACTTGATCAACAGTGCTGGCTGGTAGAAGAAAAGGTAGTGTTCCTTTTTTCCTGTGTTTGTTTCTCTGTTTCTACATTTATGTAAAGCACACTTAAGAGGAAAACAGATTTTTGCAGAGCTACCTTTGAACCTTAGAGTTGCTTTACAACACTTATTGCATTACTAACAAGCCACAGGTGTACACTACAGAAGCGGGTGAAAATGTAATTGAGGGGTATGATGACAGTTAATTGTCCATAATGTATTTATCCCAAGATGCACTTATGCATCTGTTATATATTTAGGTATTTGTTACTAGTAGCTTTGGTGATGCTTAAGCAGAGGGGCATCTATATCTAAAAGACAATAAAAAAGGAAAATGCTATCAAGGGGCTCTAAAGTAGCAAGACAAAGAAACTTCGTCTCTTTTTCACTGTCTCTGAAATGAATAGGTCTATTTATTTCAGTGTTGGGTTTT